TAACATATTTCTTTTTCAGGGGCATATCAATGATTGTCCGCCATAACATAAAATGGCAGTTATAAACTTCCTTCCCCCTGAGTAAAGAAAGAAGAAAATGAGAAAAAAAATCAGGAACTCACCTAAAAGCAAAGGGTATTCTCCAAATGTAGAAGATAAGTTAATTAGGAAATATGAATTCACGCAGAATCTTCGTAAATCTTCGACTTTTCGACGAAACATAGTTGTCCTTTCTTATGACTGAAGATACACTAACAGATTAGATCGCATTTTGAAAAAGTAAAAATATGCTTTAAAACTTCTTGCTCACTGCAACAAATGTTAGATGGCTTTAAAACAAGATATTCGAAAGGAAATGTCGAAGTTATGTGAAATGTTCAGCTCAACACGCCTTTGGAGAACTGCCATATGATCGATGAAACGAGACAAACGTCTCGTTCCAAACAGCCTGTTATTTTCCTTTATATGAATCGCTCTGTTAAAATCACCGAAAACTTTCCCGAAAAACTGCACCGTGAGTTTCTACCCGTTGTATGCCTGAGGATAGAAGTGAAAATGTGCCCTGCTAGATATGAATAGAGACCAGTTCTGGAGATAGGAAATACTCTGCTTCATCTTCCGAAGAAGAGAAATTGTTTGATCGAACCTTGTGTTTGAAAACAGATTGTGTGTTAGATTTCAATAATTCATTCATGTTCGCTGTCCCCTGCTATCTTTGCACCAACATATGCAAACAAATAGTCATCATAATCTTGCTCCTACAGAAACCAAAGTCAGTGTTTCAACAAACCCCATGAATCTTCTATATCCCATTTATAATTTCCACTCCCGATTCAGACTTAACTTTGAAATATGTCTTTTCATCCGGAACGATCTCTCCTGTCAACGAGAGGAAATGCTGGAACAACAAAACTTTGATGTTTTGTGGTTTAAAATGATATCATAGAAGATCACTGAATCAATCATCCCGGTGCGGAAATTTCCATATTCAGTGACCTCAATGTCCACAATATAGAATGACTCAAATTTTTGAATATTAACGACGAACAAGGTGACGAAGCTCAGACTTTGCAATGAGCAGCGGACTCACTCAGATTATAAACAACTAACCAGGATTCCTGACCGAGATGGAGAATATGCTAGTGGATCTAAACCTAACAACTAATCCAGAAATTTACACAGTCACCAAAAGGATCCATTGGGATCACTATTCCCACAGAAGAATCCACAATACCAGAAATTACTTTTCGACAAAGTCAGGTCAAGCGAATTTCGAAACAGCTCAATATTAACAAGGCGTCTGGTTCTGATGGAGTGCCCGTCATCGTACTTGAATGCCACCAGTATTTTGCAAAATTTTCAACCTGTCCTACAAGAAAGGGGTTTTTCTTTCTTGTTGGAAGACATGAGGCTGTTCATGTTCAGCCTATTCCCAAAAAAGGCAAGAAATATCTTCCAAATAACTATAGACCAGTGGCTTTGCTATCAGTGATATCAAAAATTATGGAGAAAGCTTAAACCACCATATCCTCAAATATTTGAAAGGTATCAACATGGAAAGTCAATAGCTGTTGCGGTTGATATTTCTGAGGCCTTTGTGACCAGGCATCGGTTTTCTCCAAGAAGATGAATGTCTCCGAACTGGATATAATAATGTCAGAATAGACAATTCCGCTAAGTTTGTTGGGGGTTAAAATGGACACCAACATGTCTTGGCACAATCATGTCGTTGGAATCGCAAAAGCTGTTTCTCAAAAGCTTGGAACACTGTTCCAAACGAGAAAAATGTACACACATCAGCAACGTTTGATACTCTATAAAGCTCAGATCAGACCCTCAATGGAGCTCGGCCTCTAAGAATGCCATGGAGCTACTGGAATCTATCCAGAAAAGAGCCATCCGCCTGATGGGAAACGCGAACATCACTTGATAGTCTGAAACATCAAAGAAAGGTTGGAAATTTGTCTCTCTCCTATAGCTTCTTTCACAGGAAGTGTTCAAGTAACTTGGCACATTTGATTTCACGAAGAAAAGTATACATAAAAAATAATTCGCGACGGACTGTGGTTGCTCATCGTTTCAAGCTTTAACTCAGTACACCTCGAACTTCACTGTTTGAGGACTCTTTCATTTGGAGAACTGCGTTCATGTGGAATAAACTTCCCGAGAACATTTTTCCAAATGAATTTAATCTCCAGCGATTCAAATCCAATGTGAATCGCTACTTGCGCACAGGCACAGCTCTTAGCACGCCTTGAGAGCTTTCTTATACTGCTTATGTTTTTTCTTTGAAAACAAAACACTTCAATACACTTCTTAATGTTTCAGACAATGCTTTTTGAGGTAAATGATACGAAGTTTTCCATCGAACACCATACCAAAAATTTGTAGTTTTTCACAAATTCCAACTGGCTAACTTCAGAACTGGATATGCTAAAGGTTTGTTCAATAAATAACATACATTTAGTCTTTGTATTCGGGAATTTCAGATTACTTTCCATTCTTTAATTTTCCAGCTCAGCTGGAAAATTGAAGTATGGCTTTCCATACTTTAATTTGCGATAACGATAACTTTTTGAAGAAGNGCAGAGTAAATATTAACACTACCAACATATATTAAAAGATCATCAGCGTAAATAAAGCCCCATTGATTGGCAACTCAATATTTTCTGCAACATTGTTGATTGCTACAAGAAAAAGTGTTGAACCCTGAAATGACGGTTGTGGAGTACCACTGTTCTAATCTTTGCGATCAGTTATTGAGTGGCTTATAGCTTGTGACAGAAGTAATCGAAATAAAAAGAATTGATTTATGACATAAACTATTTAAATTTGTTACATTGAGTGTTCCCTTATCTCCTAGCCTCTTTTCTCAGGTAATTCTAAATTTGGTCACTTAAACGTTAAATACTAAAATTTCAGATCTCAAAGAACTCTAAGTTTATGAAAATTGAGAAATTTTTTAATACCACATGTATTTATAACTAACGACGAAACCGCAGGAACGTTACTTACAAATACAAGTGGTATAAAAACAGATTTCCCAAATTCAATAATAATAATAATGTGTGGGGAGTGGTCGTTGGTTGATAATGCTGGCGCGCCCTCCCGAATGTATCGGGGTTTGTGATGCTCTTCTTTTTTAGAATGATGAAATTTGACTTATTTAAAAAAAATGACTCACCTCATTCCATCCTGTTAGATAGCAATCTTCATAAGAAGTTATATCATCTATAAATTTTCCTGTAATAGTAGTTCTGTTCCAAACGTTGAAAGGAAACTGTCCATCAATCTAAGAGAAGAAATATATATTAGTTTCTTGAGATGCTTTAAGAGGATGTTGACATTCTGAATGTGCGATATGCACGAAAGAATAAAAGTTATTCACAGATAATATCAGTTCACTCCAATCGAAAGAATGATATTTATTTGAATCATATAGTTAGTACAGAAGCAAAATAACGATTTGGCTATATAGCCCAGCATTTCGAAGTTCAACTAAATCAGAGTTACTTTCAATGTATTACCTATGATTTAGATACGGAAATTTTTAACAAATTTTCATTTATTGAAATTGTCACTTTGTTTTAAATAATATTTTTATGAATGTGTCTGAACACTCGTCGAAATTGCTTGAATTAACATGGCAACTATTAAAATAATGGTGAAAAATACCATAAATCTCATTTATCGTACTCAAACATCATAATTTACTTTTCCAAAATTCAATAACTATCAAAGCAGGCGACTAATACAAAAAAATATGAGTAATTCAGAGAGAAAATAGTGCAGTAATGAATCTTCATTTGTACTCATGAGAAGTACTTTGAATATTTCCATGTTTGAAGTAGATTTATATTTTTCGATAAAATCATTGAAATATCCATAAATTTCAATACAGAAATACGTTCAAAAATTATTAAATTCAAATATTCTTTTGAAAAGTAAGGTTCTTGCTTTGTCATCATTTATTTTTTCAGAAACTCCATTTGTTCATCAATACCAGTTGAAAAAATATAGGATTATGACAATTTTATTCGACTCTACGCATGAAGGTACCTAAGTAGGCATGAATATCAACGTTATAAGAAAAAGAGTTCAGCATGCTTGTCGAGAGTGGGAATTTTGGCATAACTTCAGCCAAAGTAGGTGACACCGGGGTTAGTTATGCCATTATTTCTTAAATTTTTTATAAATGAAGTCAAATTGTCCGTTCATTTCAACATTTATTCTATAATGTTTTGGCAACTTGAAAATGCTGAAACAATAAACTGTTGCCAATACTTTTACGAAATTATTTGCGTCTGTCACAACTAACCCTATCACAACCAACCTCGGTGTCCCCTACCCTATGAAGCCATCATTGCGAATGTTGAATCATGGATTCGTTATTTGCCAAACGACCAAACGTGGAGGCCAATTGGAAGTAAGAAGAAAGTGGGGCGCAAACGAGTCAGAATAACGACCTTACCGTGATGAACACCAGATAATACAAGAAGAAAATCAACACCGTACTTCAACCGCAAGGAAAACATCATCAGTGTAGTATTCCCGGCAATCGTAACCCTTCTGTTCGTTCATTATACATCATAGAATTTCCAGTGGTACGGTGTGTTCTCTGTGAACATACGGATGGCACCGCAATAAGTATCCCGTGGCAAACTTCAAAATATATATAAACAACGTTTCTCTGAGTGAGCTGCTGTGAAACCATATTTATAGCTGCGTTATGTTGATGATAAGTAAAGAGCAAGTTAACGAATTGCATATGTATCTGAACTTCCTCAAACCAAAATTCCAATTCACAATGGTATGGGAAATTCAAAAAACAAGTGTCTTCTTGGAAGTATGAAAACCATCACAGAGGGTTTAAGATCAGCTGAGGACACCAAAGAGCCTTCACCTGACCCCTTGCAACTGTAGATCGGTCTACATTGAAAACACGAAGATAACTGTAAGTACTACCCAAGCTTGAAAATAAAAAAGCTATAGAAATTCAAAAACACTAACAATATCAACCCATAGAGAGGAGAAAAAAGATTAACAAAACTTGGCTATCTTCACTTGATTGTAAATCCATCTTCTCAATGAACTGATGACTTCATTTAGTGAATAATATTTTAGATCACCTAGCAAGAGAGGTACCAACTGGATCTACTAGCCAGGAGACGCTCTTCGACCCACAAGTACGATTCCAAAGCTGAACATTACGCCCTGGATGGCTAGATTATCTTTTTCGGAAAATCATCAATGACAGCCATAATGAAGAGATACCAGTTGATTGGTCGCTATCGAAATTGTTGGATATTCAAGGTGCAAGATTCCCATCTTTATGACCGCAAAAACCTTTCCATATGAAGATATCTGTGAATCAGCTATAGTAGACGCAATATTAGGTTCAACCATTCAGGACTTTCTCGCTTCTGGTTTGGGTGAATCTGCTCAGAGAAGATTGTTTTCTCTTTCGCTGTAGATCCTGCTTTCGCTGAGCAAAAATTTGGTGTAAAACAGATCCATAAGATAGCCAGTTATTGGGCAGACGATAAATCGCTCTCAGACTGAACCACCCAGCCTTCTAGGTTTGTTAGCAGAATTCAGAGTTGGAGAGCCGAGAAGATATTACAAGGAGGGATGTCATTTATTTGATGTCCATCTCATATGTAGACTCAGGTTCGAATCCTTGGATTTCTTCCTGTCCATAATGGATCCCTAGCTAGGGAAAGGAGTTTCGCATTACCGTGACAAGGTTTTCTACTACGACTAGAGGGCTCCCGGTATCTCAAGGTTTAGGGTGACATTGAGTGGGCTGTGAGTCATATATCCTTCTGGCACAGAAACAAACATATTTCCCACTGCAGGACAAAGGGCGTTAAAATTCTCTCCCTATACGTTTTCCATGAATCTGGAAAACCATTTTCATTTCACTAAGAAATGTGAATTGAAAATAATGTGTTTCCGTCTCCAAATATAAAATCAAATCACTGATAACACGTTTTTTGTCATACATTTACGTTAAAGTCTCCGGATATATTTTAGAGATGGTATACGAACCTCAATCACTGCTAAATCATAATCTAGCGTTCCTTTGTTAAATGATGGATGAAATGTAACATTTTTCGCTCCAAAGGTAAAAGAAGCATTTCCAATTAGATTATTTCTGCCACCCTTTACTGAGACTATTATTGGGGGTAACACTCCACCCCAGTTGTAGAAAAGTCGATGAGCCACGGTGAGTATGTGAGTGGCGTCTACAATGGTTCCTCCGCAAATAAATTCATCATCATAAGAAGTATGAAGAGAAACCTAAAAATAGAGTTCAATCAGAGAAAATGTCAAAATGGAATAGTTCATACAATTAGGGAATTAACATCCACAAATGACCTACAGACCTACAGACTAGATTTTTGAAACCGAAAGAAAACTGCTTTAATTTAAAAATTATACGAAAATGTTTTTGAAATGAAGTAATACATACACAAAATGTGTATGAAAGCGTTTCGATGTGACGTAGAGTTTATCGGAATTAAAAGTAAAATGTTTTCACAGTACAATGGATTGAAAATGATTGTAGTGATTAATAGAAGGGTGTGATTCCTCGGGCTTATATCAATTCCATGAAATTTTACTCAACAAAAATTATTCAACTCACCTGATAAGAAATATTGTTCGTCTCTACCTCGGAGCGGTATTCTTGGACCGTTGTAACGTCTACATCTCCACGTACTAAAACACAAGAAAACCTCAACAATTGCACACTTGGTGACCTCGGTTTGTCATGATACCTACGATATAGAAAAGACGATGCAAAAGGTTCCATTCATGGTCTTTCTAAATTCAAAAGTTTTTTTTTGTTGGAGGAATTTCAACCAACTGATATCAGATCCATATTACAAAGTGAAGTCAGGATGTTAACTTTGCTGACTTTGGTCAACAAAACATGGTACTTGGTTTTGTTCTTAGCAATACCTGAAGGTATTCAATAACCTTGTATTGCGATTTTTTAAACGGTTCACGAATCTGATACACGTATTTCACCATACTATTGTTGTAAATGGGATGTATTCTTATTATTTCATCGTTATAAAAATAGGTTTCGACTTTTCTCGTAATGATTTTACATTAATATTTTAACAACTGAACAACTGGATACAATAGTTAGAAAACAAATCAGAAAACAAAATTATTCATATAAGGATAGAAAATATTAACATCAAAATAATATCATGAACAATTCCAACCGTCTCCTCCCATTTGGCATTCTAATTGCAAAATTATTCCAACCCAAAACGCTTCGGTATCTTCAATCTTCTTCCAGATCTTGTGATGAAGCCGTCACATCTTGGTGTCTTCTTTCATATGTATTTTCTCCCTCTTCATCTTCTCCTTGCTGTGTTACATTTTCATTGTAGATGCTATTTTTTTCTCCGCCTTGATTTTCTGGTATCTCGTTAGTATCCACTTCTCTAGACTTTTCTAATTGGTTCGCCGTGTCTGTCCCAATTTCTAATGGAAACAATCGCTGCAGAGGACGAATTAGTTGCCCTCGTTCTGTTTTAACTCGTGCTACTCTTTCTATTCCATCTCTTCCTGTTTACAGTCTTTTTTCTTTCTTTATCAACTTCATCATTCATACAGTAAATATCTGCATTTGGCCAGTGTTTTGAATCACTCTTCAACCACTCTGGTTCCTTCTACCATTGTTTCTCAACCAAAGTCTTACTCAAGCAACCTCTTGAAGCAACGTCTGCCGGATTTGAGTGACGAGGTACATGTCGCCAATCATTAACATTGCTCACTGAAGTTATTTCTTTCACTCTGTCACCTACGAAAGTATTCCAGTGACATTGTATTTTAATCCATGTGAGAGCAACCATTGAATCACTCCAGAAGTACGTTCTCAGAACACTCAATTCATTCACACTTTCTACATTTTTTCCAAGGTCTGACCCCTATAACAGTATCTAACAATTCCAACCTAGGTAGAGTTATATTTTTGGGAGCTATTCTTGATTTTGCCTCAACAAGTTCAACAAACACTCTTCTTTCCATAACATTTCTTAGAATAGGCAGCAAGCATAAGCAGATTTACTAGCATCCGAAAACACATGAATCGTTGCATGGTCATAATCAACTCTTTGGCCACTACTGAGTGATCTTGGAAATTTACATAGACTGAGAAAATGTTTTTGTTTCAACCACATATCGAAAGGTTTTACAATATCACTTGGCAAAACTTCATCCCAACCAACTTTTAGATTCCAAGTTTCTTTTAGTAATACTTTTGGAATAAGTGTTACTGGACATGTGAAATATATCGGATCAAATACTCTATGTGCTGCTGATAGTATTCCCCTTCTTGTTCAATTAGAAATCAATCCCAAAACATATATACTTTCATTTTGAGCTACTTCATCTTTCATGCCTGAATTGGAATTGAAAGTCCAATCTCTAAGATTAAAGTCTCCTAAAGACATTAATTGTTTGGATTCAATAATGAATTTATTAATTTCTTTTTCAGAATGAAAACTACATCAACATTTATCTACATAAAACGATTTCTTCAATAAATTAGCTGTGTTTTGGTATTCTGGAGGTGATCTAGATAAATGATAGTTGACAGTTGCAGCTGAAAGGAATAGACTACATTTCAAACCAAAAACTACCCGATGATGCCTAAAATTTTTTATTGTTTCATATAAATCATCTTGCCACCAAAGAATTCTTAGAAAATCCCGATCCTTTTCAGTAACACTGATCTGTAAAAATACTTTCGCAATGTCAGCTGTTACTTCTATCTTTCCTAATCTAAATTCAACCAAAAGTGATGGTATTAAATCAATTATATTTGGACCTTTTTCTAGACACCCATTCAAAGATACATCTCTCTTATCAGTTGCCGAAACATCAAAAACCGGCCTCACCTTTGTGGTCAGACTGACTTCTTCAATGAGAGCGTGATGTTGTAAATAGTGTACTTGTTTCTCCTCGGCTTGTTTTACTTCCCAATGATTGCCAGTGTTTCCCAGTCATAAAGAACGTTTTCGTATTCTTGTGATTTATCTGTATTCCTTAACTTCTTTGTAGTAGGCATCAACCGAGAATTGGCCATTTATTCATTTCTCATTATTTCCGGATGACCTTCAATCCAGGGTAGATGAACTTCATAGCTGTTCTTCCAAGCTATCGTTTGATTAACTTCTTTAAAACTTCTTCTTCATGTTCATCTTTGGTTTTGAAATGCGCAACATCTTTTATTCCTATCACATCCAAATTCCATATATATATGCAATGGAAAACTCAGTAAGACCGGCAAATATAGTAGAATATGTCGAACATTCACTTACTCTCTGACCCATTATTGTCCAACCTGAATAAGTTTCGAGAGCAATGTAGCCATTCATCAAATTTTCGATTTCCCTGTCAAAAGCTGACCAAAAACATCGGCTCCTAATAATAATTGTATTTCATTTGAAACATCAAAGTTTCTAGTATCACTCAAAATTATATTTTTATGTTTTAAATAGTCTATAACAGATATATCAGTCAAACGAGGTAGGTTGTTACATATTTTCACTTGTTCTACCACATTCACNTATTCCTTCCTTCTTGCTCACTGCAACAAATGTTAGGTGGCTTTAAAACAATATATTCGAAAGGAAATGTCGAAGTTATGTGAAATGTTCAGCTCAACATGCCTTTGTAGAACTGCCATATGATCGATGAAACTGTTTCAAATTATTGAGATCGGTATATGACACCCAATTTTTGGATGGTTTCGAATGTCTGGAAATATCAAGGTATTGCGTGAGAACTATGAACAGTGACAAACGTCTCGTTCCAAACAGCCCGTTATTTTTTGCTTTATATGAATCGCTCTGTTAAAATTACCGGAAACTTTCCCGAAAAACTGCACCATGAGTTTCTACCCATTGTATGTCTGAGAGTAGAAGTGAAAGTGTGCCCTGTAGGATACGAATAGAGACCAGTTTTAGAGTTAGGAAATACTCTGCCTCATCTCCCGAAGACGACAAATTGTTTGATCGAACCTGCATCGAGAAGAGTCTTGCAATTCTTGTGTTTGAAAACAGATCGTGTGTTAGATTCCAATCATTTATTCATTTCCCCTGCTATCTTTGCACCAACATATGCAAACAAATAGTCCTCATAATCTTGCTCCTACAGAAACCAAAGTCAGAGCTTCAACAAACCCCGTCAATCTTCTATATCCCATCTATGATTTCCACTCCCAATTCAGACTTAACTTTGAAATATGTGTTTTCATCCGGAACAATCTCTCCTGTCAACGAGAGAAAATGCTGGAACAACAAAACTTTTATGTTTTGTGGTTTAGAATAATATCATAGAAGATCACTGAATCAATCATCCCAGTGCTGAAATTTCCATATTCGGTGACCTCAATGTCCACAATATAGAATGGCTCAAATTTTTAAATATTAACGACGAACAAGGTCGCGAAGCTCAGACTTTGCAATGAGCAGCGGACTCACTCAGATTATAAACCAGGATTCCTGACCGAGATAGAGAATATGCTAGTGGATCTAAACCTAACAACTAATCCAGAAATTTACACAGTCACCAAAAGGATCCATTGGGATCACTATTCCCACAGAAGAATCCACAATACCAGAAATTACTTTTCGACAAAGTCTGGTCAGGCGAATTTTGAAACAGCTCAATATCAACAAGGCGTCTGGTTCTGATGGAGTGGCCGTCATCGTACTTGAATGCCACCAGTATTTTGCAAAATTTTCAACCTGTCCTACAAGAAAGAGGTTTTTCTTTCTTGTTGGAAGACATGAGGCTGCTCATGTTCAGCCTATTTCCAAAAAAGGCAAGAAATATCTTCAAATAACTATAGACCAGTGGCTTTGCTATCAGTGATATCAAAAATTATGGAGAAAGCCTAAACCACCATATCCTCAAATATTTGGAAGGTATCAACATGGAAAGTCAAGAGCTGTTGCGGTTGATATTTCTGAGGCCTTCGTAACCAGGCATCGGTTTTCTCCAAGAAGATGAATGTCTCCGAACCGGATATAATAATGTCAGAATAGACAATTCCGCTAAGTTTCTTGGTGGTTAAAATAGACACCAACATGTCTTGGCAAAAGGTTGGGAATTTCTCGTTCTCCTATAGATACACTTAGGGAGAGAAAATATTAACATCAAAATAATATCATGAACATTTCCAACAACTATAACGTTCAGTTTATTGAACTCAACTAGTGAAATAGTGTGTTTAATGATCAGGTTCAGATTAATATTAGACAAACCTGAAGAAGTGAAAAACGTGTTGCGGTTTTGTAGACTGTTTTGTAATTCAATTACATATTTTCTTAAAGAGTTTTCATTGAATTCCATTGATAGGTTCTTCATTTTTTTGAGTTTGCTTATTTAATTGGAAAAGCAAAAATATATAAAAATGAATTTATTTTTCATTGAAATCAATATTGAAATCACCTGTTAATATTATTTTGCATTTCATAGGGAGATCGTTCAAAATTGACTCCAATTCGTTTATAAGAATATGAGGGTGTGATAACGGTGACCTGTAAATGCATAATATGTACAAATTGATTTTCTTACTAAAACTTATGGAAAATTCGAATGCTTTTTCTTGTAATATATAATCAAATTTGGTGATGTTGGTAAAATGTAATTTATCATTTAAAGAGGTTTTTCCCAATATCAAAGTTCCGCCATGAGTTGTTGTTTTTCTACTATATTTCGAAATAACGTTATAGTTTGGTAAATAAATAGGCTCATCATTTTTGAGCCAGTGTTCAGTTAATAATACTATTTGTGGAAAGTCCAAACTTTCTAGGAATATATACAACTCATCCAATTTATTTC